ACGCCTGCCCTCTAGAGTGCGATTGGCTCGTGAGTGGAGACACCGTATCCATCCCGGCGGCTATTGGATTATCGGCTCCAGCAGCCACTTTTGCGACCCGCCCAAACAGCACTTTGCTTCTGGAAAAGCGGGTTATCAATATCTTTTAGAGCTGCAAAATACAGTCTTGGACTAAGTTCACCCACGGGAACCTAAAACGACGATTTCCCAAAGATGTCACTCTGCCGAGCTGTTGCCTTTGAACGTTATTTTAGTCTATTAAGAGTGATTAGATTCTAGAATTGCAAACAATGTGTTGAAACTTGCATTTTTACCAGGACGAAATCATCGATTAATCCCTGCTTTTGCAAAATCTTTACTTGAAACAGGCAGATTATGCGATTGTGAAGAAGCGCCTGAAAATTAATTACACGTATGAGTTTCAGGTTATTTTGCTTAAAGGTGTGAAATGAGAAACAAGAATTGAGAAACAACTGATAAGATATGTTTATATGTATACAAGGCAAGTGTAAAGGCCGTCCATATCATATGCTAACAAGCCTACTTTCTTCTTCTTCGCATACTTCGGTGTCGAATGCACCACTCAACACGGCATCGTTGAGTTCGTCATCGTCAACGCCCATCGCTCGTCGTCGCTTCCTAAATATGAATCATTATTTCTTAGTCATTGTTCCGATTTTCTATCCAACAAAGCTCTTACCTTCTAACACTTTCTTTATAGATTTGGAAACATTTAGTTACGATAAAGCATCCTATGAACAAAACGACTCCTCCAGATAAGAATGTCACCACAGCAAGGACCACTGACTCCAAATCCTTTGTGAATTTTGACCCAAGAAACCTAGCGGGCGCTAAAGAAAAGTTGTTCGAAAGCCAGTAGAAAGCCTAGATTGAAATCTTGCCTTGCGTGGGTGGCTTTGTCTCAATATGCCAGTTCATTTCCGTCTTGCTGTTCTTCTACACATTCGTGCGATGTGCGCACAAGTTCTGTGATGTCAACTAATAATAAGAACTGGGATGTTCAAAAGAAATATATGTCCGAATGAGAGAAGTGAGATCTCTTTTACCCCACATAAATTGGTACCAAATATGTAATACACTGTTGGAGTCAAAATGGTCCTAACACTTATTTGCGCAAATTTTTTGGACGCAAAAACATCAAAAATAATATCTGCTCCATGGCGAAGGTGTTCGCCAAATAGTTTGAAAGCATGCAAGGCTGACGCTTACGCAGCGCGCGGGCAATTGTCAACCATCGGGCGCGCCCACGCTCGGTCAGCGGTC